ATTACCATGTCAGGTAAGGACTCCGGTTTCTGTCTCTTCAAATGATTAATCTAAAATTCTAATAAAGAAGATCTAAGATAATGTCTCTTGTAGCTGCTTTTTCCCTCCCTCCCACCGTGCCAATACATCCATGGGACAYAGCAGCAGTCTCATCTCCCAGCTAGTTGCCTCTTTCTCTCACGGGGTCACTCCAGCTTGTTCCTTCTCTCAGTGAGATTGTGTAGCAGTGAGATCCATATATTAAGTATGAATTACACAAAATAAAAGTTTATTGCCAGCTCCTGGATGTCCCTCCTCCCAATTTCATTGAATACCTCCCTTGTTATAGGACACAATTCATAGCAACCTCTGGCTCATATTTCTGCCTTCAGCTTCACCTTTCTCTGCAGTTTGCATATAAATCTCTAAATAAGTTCTTTCTTAGGGAATTTTAACACATATTTTCCCTGCAGGTATAACACACAAATCATAGAAARTAAAGATGACAAAATCCTAAGAGGTTGTCTGAAGCAATCTGTGATGGAGAATTGTCCCTCATTGTATGTCTTTGTTCAGGAGTAATTTTAAACGCTTCAGGCAATGAAAAAACTAAACAATTTAATCTACAAGCAGTTCTGAGTTTTGCTTTGACTCCAATTTGCTTCATTTCATCTGCTATTTCAGCCATTCTAGCGTCAACACTACCACTTACAAAATATTCTCTAATATTTGTAAGTTTAATTATATGCAGGGTCACATCTAAGATYAGTTTCTTTAAACATGCTGATAAATTTGGAATCATTCCAGTGCTTCTTAGTCGCTGACGATATACAGAGCAGAACTCTTCAGGGATTTAAGGAAAAATTGCTGGCAGTTTTATTTAAATAATAAAAATCATCATATAGTTAATATATCAGCATATAGTTAATATATCATCATATAGTTAATCATCATATAGTTAATACAGGTATTTTCCATCAGGGTCATTTAAAATATCATAGTTACTTCCAGGAGCTGTATCAGAGAGCACAGGCTGGCACCCATTTCTACTTTTTCTCTGAAGTCTGAAATGGCATCTTGTTTTGTACAGGGTATTCTAATTTCTGTGTAGCTGTGTGAGAACATGCAACAATTTATCTTGGATTTTTGAAATACTGAATAACATTCAAGACTTTTGAATGGAAAAAAAACCCGAATTAAAAACAGTAATACACAAGGTTTCCATATAGCATAATTAAGATTGAATACATTTTAGTAATCTGTAAGAAGTTTATTTCAGAAAGTTTTTCATGTTTCTATTGGATCCAAATAGCCTGGTTTATAGATCGATATAAAGAGAAACCTAAATGACTTCAGGCAGTGTTTTCAATGGGGAATAAATAAGGACTGATGACAAATCATTGGTATTTTGCAAAATCAAAGGTATTTTAGGCAAATCAKAAGTATTTTGATGTCTACAGTGTTTGGATAGCATTTACCTATTTTTTCCCATAGCTTMTAATACTTTTATTAAAACAACTATAAAAATATACATTGATGTCTCAATGAACAGCACTAACAAAGATATGTAAACGTATAACAAGAAGTGATGTATTTTTTACATACCTGTTTACTTTGAAGTTGTGTTTTAGTTGCAATGGCATGAAAACTAATTCACATATGTGCACTTTGCTATCTATTCACTTACTCATATTTCTGTGCAAAAATACTGAAATAYCTCATTAGAGAGATCTCTAAGAGCATTGGCTTTATGCTCCCTCCCAGTCTTTCCATTTGGGTGATTTGATTTCCTCCAATAACCTACTATCTTTTTTATAGGTTTCGGTGAATAGATCTTTCACAAATCTGTCCAAAATCCTGCCAAGGAATATACATTGCTAATACCCAGAGCAATGTCCTGTACAAAAGAAGAAACAACATGAAAGACACATTAATCTTTAGCCTCGTAACCCAAATACCTTTGTTGATAAAGGCTACTGCAGTGATTTGCCAGAGAGAAGTGAGTTGTCAGAGYACATGGATTTGTTCAAACTGGTTTTATTTGCTTTTCTTTAGAAGTGTGACAGATCATGTTGAGCAATACATTTGCATCTAATCTGCCCAGAGGTATTATTAAGGATATGTCCTACAGCCCAGAAATACAGTATAGTATTGTTAGCAGAGTTGACAGGAAGGTGACAAGACTAGTCATGCAAAATTACCCACCTTTTTTAAGTAGGCATTTTTTTTTCCAAACTTTTTGGAACTAAGCTAGTTCTAGGTATATAAACAAATGCCGTCTGCTCATCCTAGCCAAGTGTAAGAGGTTACAAGTTGGATCAATGAAGACATTAACCTGCTTTGGGCGGGAGTGTTGATCTGCTTGAGGGTGGGAAGGCTCTGCAGAGGATCTGGACAGGCTGGATTGATGGGTTGAGGCCAATGGTGTGAGGTCCAGCAAGGCCCATGCAGCATTACAGGCATTACAGGACCTAGACCAGTTGACAGCCAGTGGAACAAGAGCCAGCAGTGTCCCCAGGTGGCCAAGAAGGCCAGTGACATCCTGGCCTGTATCTGCAATAGTGTGGCCAGCMGGACYAGGGCAGTGATTATCCTACTGTACTCAGTACTGGTGAGGCTGCACCTCCACTCCTGTGTTCAATTTTGGGCCCCTCACCACAAAAAAGACATTGAGGTGYTGGAGCATTTCCAGAGAAGGGAACAAAGCTGGGGAAAGGTCTGGAGCACAGGTCCTGTAAGGAGCAGCTGTGGAAGCTGGGGGCATTTAGTCTGGGAAGAAGGTGGCTCAGGGAGACCTTATTGCTCTCCACAACTGCCTGAAAGGAGTCTGTAGAAGGAGGGGATTGGCCCCTTCTCCCAGGTGACAAGTGACAGGACAGGAGGAAGWGGCCAGGGGACGTTTAAGTTAGGTATTATGAAAAAATTCTTCACTGAAGAGATTGTTATGCTCTGGATGCCCAGAGATTTTATCACCTTCCCTGGAGGTATTTAAAAGTCAGATGTAGATGTGGCACTCAGGGACATGGTCTCGTTTTGGAGTTGACAGTGCTGGGTTTACAGYTGGACTCAATGACTTAAAAGGTCTTTTCCAACCTAAACAATTCTACTATTTTTTTTTTTTTACTCTGTTCTTTCTTCTTAATATTCTACAATGCCTTTTCCTGCTAGAAGCATTGAGTACTTAATTTCCATTTCAGTGCAGCTGCAAATAGGTTTGTCTACAGTATTTTAAGTTAAAAGGAATATATGTGGTTTTTTTTTTACTTTGTTCTGGACGTGTAAGGTTTGTTTTTTAATGTAAGCATGAAAGCAAATAACTTTGCATGCTCATTCCTACAAGTCAYTCGAATCCATTACAGTATTTTTTCCAAGCATCCTGTTAAGGCTAACCACAAAACCATCAAGCACAGGAGTGGGTCTGTTTCAAATTAATGCAGCAGGTGGGCACATCACAGACAAACAGCAGCGTGGCATTTCCCAAAAGGGAGTATCATTATCATGAAATAATGACAGAGCTACTGCATAGCTGAAGGAGGTAAAAATGGAAGCAGATCTTTTGCACGAGTCCTGCACCTGGAAATTGGGTCACCTCYTGTGACAGAAGCCATCATTAGGCTGCTAAGGCAATTGGCTGAAATTCAGAAAATACCTTTCTTTGTGGGCTGTAGCCAGGACGCTTTCCTGAAAGCTAGTTTAGTTTCCTCAGTGTTTTTGAAATCTTTTTATCATGAATCATCAGTTTCTTTTGAGCAAGTCCTTTAACTTATTTTGGTTTTTAGAAATATGTACTTTTAGTGTTGGGGGTTTGGTTGGGTTTTTCTCTTTGATAAGATGAACGCAACAGYGTCTAGCAGAGAGAGATGTTTACAGCCTAAGTTGCTGAAAGAACCTCTCATTGCCACATGTTTGCATAAAATCTGTCCACTTTGAACAATCTGAGGACCAAAATCAGGAGTGGAGSAAACACAAGGAAGGGGCTTGGGAGTGCCAGGAGCTTGTCCCTGCCCAGACCACAACTCCGTCCCAGCAGAGGAATGGACAGGTCAGGACWGGACCTTCCAGGGTGGAAATATGGTTCTTCATAAGGCAAATCTTTTGATAGCATCTGCAGTTCCAGGCATTCAAATGCACCCACAGCAATTCTTGCCCTGCAGAGATGCTCAGCATCAGCCTCTCTCTCCTCAGCTTGGCTGCATTTTCTCAGTGCTGAAATGAGTTACTCAAGCACAGTAGGGCACTGTTGGGAAGAAGGAAGGAAGAACCTGGCTCAGGTTGTGGCAAGGAAATGTTCGGGCACTGGTGGGAAGGAAGCCACTGGAGGAAGGACTGGAGTCTGGGAAGGAATGTTTTGGAGAGGTCACCACATCTAGATGGGGGAAGGACTCTGTAGGTCATGGCTTAGCTCCCAACTCAGTCATAAACAGACACAAATTTGCTAAACCTGCCAGTTTAGCAGCTTCAGTGACTTAGACTCGAAACACAATGTCTTTATAATGTCATCCACCTCTTTCTGCCACCCTATGTGGCCTGAACGTCATTATTGGACCTCTAGGTTCTTCCATAGACTTGTTTTATAGGAACTTGGGGTCTGACTTAGGGAAATCTCAGCTGGCTCATCTTCACTCAAATCACTTAAAGATTTCCTTCTTTAAGGGTAAAGCATTGAAATATTCAGTTGAGGAAACCTATCAAAGAAACATTTTTATTGGTGAGAAAATTGCAGCCATCACAGATTTACTGTGATACTTGCTGATTTTCTTTTGCACAACCTTAATTTCCCTTCCTAAAGAGTTCTAGTTCTGGCACTTTCCAGCAACGAGGCCTGTACTGTTATCTAGACCACAATCTGCCCTATATTAATTTTTAAAGAGGTTTGGGTTTTTCTCAGCATACATAATGTTGTGTACTTTGGAAATACTTGTTCATGACTAACTTTTCACAAGTTTATTGGATTTTTTTTAAATCATATTTGTGACCTGTGAGATAATATATTTGTCACATGTCATTTTCTGTATTTTTAGGAGACCCTGAAAGCTTTTGACCGGGAAGTAAATGCATTTGTGGACTATTTGTTTGGACCTCGAGGTAAGCTGCTTCACTTACAGCCCTTTAAGGAAGTAATACTTTTACAGATTACCACCCAAAAAACTTCCAATAMATTTTCTGAGTAACTCCTTATTGAAAAATGTAAGCTAGGCAGAATCACAGTATTATCAGAAACACACCATTATTGTAGGAAAACTATCAATGCAATGAATTGTGATTCCTTTGTTTCTGARAGTATCAAAGAAATCCAATTTTACATCCTAACCTGGAATAAAAAACCTGAAAGCCTGGATCTTTCTGAAAGTGGCAAAATCTTGGGACTGATTGACATTCATAATCCAGTTTGCTTGGTCCAGCTACTTATTAAATTGCCTAWTTCAGAAGGATGCTCAGAGAAAAAGCAACCTGCAGGATCACATTCAGAATTTCACTAAACTGATAGACTGGATGGGAGAACAGATGCATCTTTTGACATCCTCTTAATGCTTTGTGGAATAGTTTGGAATAGTAAAATTTAAATAATAGTAGCTTGAAGGTGCCTCATGCTTTGTTARCATGAAACAAGTGAATWAAAAAMMMMCCCAAACCTAAAATAGGACTGCAGGAGAGGATGAAGYGTCAAAGTCAGGGTTAAGGGAGCCAAGCAAATACAGGACAGGGGTGAGACAGGAGCTCAGACAGCACACAGTCTTCAGAGTAGGTCCCTGCAAGGCCACCTTGATGTTGATAGGGCTGKGTTTAACTTCAGGAATGCCTTGCAAACTTTTCCCCAAGGTTAAATCCAGAACTGCTGCTCATGTGGATGAATACATGCTTATGGATTCTCCATTTGTTGCAGTAATGTTCTCCATGTCACAGAAAGAGTTCTTGCYTAATTGGAAGAAAAATGGAAAGATGTAGTGTTCTCAAACCCAAGAAATTTTAATTTTTCCTAGCTGGCTAGATGGCTRCAAAATCTTTTCCATCATCTCTACAACAGATGTGAAGTTTGAAAGAAAGAAAGATTTCTGGTGGAGAAACAGTGAACAGCTTGGGAACTGCAGCCAAAGTGGTTAAAGCAGAATAGGTTTTATTAATGGCTTCTACAATAGTCCATTTTAATATTAACAAAGAAATGTGATCAGAAGAATAAAAGCACGACTTTTGGAGGGTTTGGTGTTAGGTTTCTTTTTTTTTTCTTTAAATGGACATGATGTTCTCTTTAATTCCTCTTTCCTTATTGGTCCAGACAAACAATCTGAAGGAATAAGCTGTACTTGATCCAATTCTGAATGCACACAGATCTGTTTGGGCTTTTAGAAAGCCCTTCARTTAAACAAGTATTATTTGTATTGTTTGCCAAGTGCATCACCATCCTACTCCAGATATCAGYTCTGAAGATAGCTTTGTTTGTCCATGTCTCTTCACTCTGATCTTTAATTAAACTGGTGGTATAATGACACAGTRTCATGCATTTCCTCAAGAGCATAACTCCCTCCAGTGTGTTTATCCACATAAATAATTCACATAAATAATGCACATAAATAATTCACAATAAACTGCAAACAGTTTTAAATTGAATGAGCCCGCAGATGAATAGCTAATGAATTTGAGAGCTTCCCGAAACATCTAAACCCACAAACCATTCTTCCTCTTTCTCTCCACCAATTTTCTTCTACACAATTCATTCAGCAGCAAGATGGATTTAAAGGATAGATAACAGCACTCCATTATTTTAAAAACCAATCCCCTATTTATGGTTTATATTTTAGGCAGTAACTCCTGAAATACTTTTATCACTATGCAGGTCTTTGTCACCATTATCAGATGTRTCTGAGGACACTAGAACAGACAGAAAGCCACACTGTAGCTCCCACAGGTAATCTCTGTCACACTGGGAGTACCAGGTTAACACAAACTACACCACTGCCTGACCAGAATAAGGGACAGATTATCAGAGATCTGAATTTGATTTTTATGTGTTGGCATATTTTGTACCTTCAGTCACTGATATCAGTTGGGCTTTCAAACTAGCAGAATGAGTCCTGTGGATCAGGGAACAGCAGCCACATACCTGCCCATCAGTGGCATMTCTTAATAAGGGGTGATCTTTAATTGGTGTTGGTCCGTATTATTTTTTGGCTCAAGRCAAATTGAGAATGAGTGAAATAGCAATTTTCTTCTGTAAGAGAGCATTTTTCCAGGGTCACCCTTCATCTGCAGAGTGTTGTTAGGTGTTATGCCAAGTTAAGGAATATTGAATAGCAGGACCTAAATCTAGTTAACTGGTTGTTTATCTGTGACAGAAACAGAGGTGGCTAAGAAGASAGATCTTTCATTTAAGCTATCATAAAGCAGTTAACACTTTTCCTTAATGGACTATGATCAGTAGCAAGGCACTAGTGCAAACCTATCTACAACTCTGCACCTAAAAAGGTCTGAATCTACTCAGACACCGACTGGCCAAAGCTATACAGAAGTTTGAATCAAAATGTTTCTAAACCTCATTGATAAAAGCCTGGTACCTTTACAGAGCCTGGGAGGCCTGCCATTCATTTCAAGGGAGCCAAGCTTTCACCCCAAGGGTTTGGCACATCATGGCCAGTGACCATGAATGAGCTTATTCACAGAGCAATCAGAGCTTGTGGGCACCTGCTCCTTCCCCTGCTGCAGTCCAGGGCTTTCCCACTGGGACTTTATTCACTGCTTTGGTCTCCATTTCAGATGCTGTGCAAGTTCAATACTGCAAAAATAATCCTTTCTCCTGCTGATAGTGTACCTTTATAGTACTTGAACATGGAGATTTAACTGTCGGTCAACAGAAATACTTTTCATCTCTCATTCTTCTGATAACTTCTTTTGAAGTACATTCCCTTTCCTCCCCCTTCTTGACACATAAAAACCTCCCTCAGCTTGTCATTCAGGGATAAGTGGAAGTGGAAATAAAACAGTCACGTTCCCTGGCTGCCCTTTATAAACCACTTTCTGCCAGAAACTGTCTTACTCTTCAAGGTATTGAGGTCGTGGTGGAAAATATTCAGGAAGGGTAGACATTTTAACAATTTCTTTTGAAACTGGAATAGTATAGAGCTTAAAAATACTTGACATGCTGACCTGGGCAGGCRTACGAGTTCTGCTTTTGTGTGGATCAGCCCACACGCTTGTGGCCACTCACAGCAGAATGCAAACTTTCTGAGGGCATACAAGGGCAGAATTTAATTCTGTRTAGTTTAATTTGTATTCTGAACTCTTCCAAATACTTTTCCTCTTCGGGCAAACATGCAGTTTTATTATCTACTGATGTCAGTTTGCCTTAGCGCATGTAACCTTCATGCACCAAGTGTTGCAATCCACAAATGGGAGACCTTTCCTTAGATAGCAATCTTGCTGACATGACTGCTTTCTACACCTTTGTTTGGGATACCAATTAGAGAAATTAAATCCTTATGCTCCTCAAACACAGACTCCTGAGACATTGACACTTACACGTGCAACCTTTACCTGTCCTGTGACTCCTGTGTCCTGTTGAGTGCCCATATGGAACAGAATCACCTCCAAAACATTCATTCCACTCCTTCAGAGGTGGCTTGTGAGCTTTAAGAGAAGTGTTTCCTTCTCACGCTAAGGTGATCCCGATAAGCATTGAGATCCAAAGGCAGGCGACGGGCGTTCTTGGCTGGTAATGCACAGCAAAGCAAGGCTGCCCTAAAAGGAACGGTTGTGCTCTTGTGACTGCTTTAATCCTACACCTCTCTGCTCCTAGAGGTTTTTAGGAGTCCAAAAGGGAGAGTCAAAAGCAGGAGAGCATTGGACTCCCATGGTAGTGGTGGTATGGTTTAAAGTCCTTCCTGCAAAAGASCTGACATCCCTCGTGGGATCCAAATTCAACTGATGAATGTTACAGCCGCTGCAGTGGCAGCCAGGGGGGAAGCAGAGAGAAGGAGAAAGCTGGTGTTCAAAGCCTGGCTCATAAGCAGGTTACTCTAACATATTTTAAATTTCTCTTTACATRTAGCTGTATGCATGTGTTTCTGAGGAAGGAATAGTTGGAAAGAATACAGTACAGCAAAATTGCCATTAATCACTAAATGCTTGGGCACATTTGCTTTGTGCATCATCCACTGCTCAGTCTTTTCCAAATTCAACACAGGCAGGAAAACATTAAAATGTTTTTTTTTTCATATACTGTGAATAGCTTTTCTTTTATGATTTTTAATGCAATCTTGGCCTTTGTAAAAAAAATTAACTAAGTAATTTAAAACATTTTCCAAGAGCAAAAACATCTTTCTAAGAGCAGAAAAAATACTTTTTGCGAGATCTGCACAATACTCCTCACTGACTCCTCTCTTCACTTACTCCACAAGTAATTCTAAAAACTAGCTGTGAAGCCCAGTTGTTCTTTCCATAGGTAAATGGCTGAAGAATAAAAGCCATTTTATTGGCTATGGAAAATTAACTCTAGGTTTTGCTCCATCTTGGAAAAAGAAAGAAGAAAAGAAAGCATGCCCCTTTTGCTCATGACATCCAGCTGCTCATATGAGAACAAAGCGGTGCCTCCTCCAAATTGGCATTTGGGATTAGGCTTTGCTCATATACACTGAACTATCTGATTACTGCCAATGGGATTACTTGTGTGAATAAGGCAAGCAGGATTTGACCTTAATATTTCATTTCAGGCCCAGGCAAGTGGGACAGAAACTGTGAGAAAGCAAGCCCTCACCCCGCCAAAAATCTTTAAAAACCATCAAAGTAAATGTTTGCCACTTATTTTTCATATTTCATGTTTTAGAAAAGTCCTCCACTTTTATGAATGTATTCTAGCTGACGTTATACACCTTCCTACCTGTATGCAGAATTAAAAGAATATATGAGCTGGCAACATTACATGTATACTTTTTATTTAATATTCTCTGCAAACTGTCCATGAGCGCATAAGATAGGATTTAAAAAAATATCAAGTTAAAACTTTGAGTTAAATTTTTAGAAGCATATAGGATTGAGTTTTTCCCTTTAATTTTCTCTTTTCTCTTAAAATGGTGACCTTAAATTATTAGGGAATTCCATGCAGTTTTCAGCCTGCATTCTCTGAGATTTTGCGCACAGTTTTGATGAGTTGAAAGCAATGCRTACTCTTGTGAGCAAAGAACAGCTGACTCCCTCTCACACTTCTAGCAACTTCTTCTCATCATATGTTCTGCCTTATTTTAGCAATTCTTTACCATACCTCTCTTAATTGCCTGCTCTGTGTGTTTCCCTTTCAGATACCAGGGTTAGAGGATGGTTCCTTTTGGATTCTTACCTTCCCACGTTTTTCCTCACCGTAGCATACCTGCTCTGCATATGGCTGGGCAACAAATTCATGAAGAACAGGCCTCCTTTCTCTCTCAGGGCTCAYCTCATCGTGTACAACCTGGGCATCACACTGCTCTCCTTCTACATGCTCGTAGAGGTAAGTGCTCCTCCATGCAGCACAGCTGAGAAAGGCAACCAAGATACAGTTTTTTTAGCAGAAATGTCTTAGTGACAGGTAGTTTTGCTGGGAAAGCTAAAATCAACAGCAAAATTAATTTAATATTAAAAAAAAGAGTCTCTTCTCATCTTAGATCTTGGCATGTTTTGATTGTCTTTCCTGAGCTACATGCCGTGCCTGGGGACTGCTGGTTGCTGCCAGGACTGTGTCTACAGGCATGAACTTGAGTCTGCAACAGTCACTCAGCTCAAAAGTGCATACACCTTGCTCTTCAGCACCCATGAAAATGCCATAGATTGGGTTTTATTCATATGACTGTCCGTGGAGTGATTTTTCCATGTCCCTGCTTAAATATGAACAGAACTATAGATGAGAGCAAGTACGGATTTACTTATGGTATTGGCAGTTCAGTGTTATTTTTGTGCTCTAGTGTCTAAGAAGCTTTCCTTATATGGTCAGACAGAAAGAAACAGATGTTAAAAACTTAGCACTTAATCCAAAAGTGACGGCTGTGGGGCTTGGAACCTGAATATGGTCACATAGATWATTTCCCAAGTACTTATCAGGAAGGAACATGCTCACATAAATCAGGATCCATTTAGAACCAGAAGAGAGGTTTGAATGCATCTGCAACAGCAGAGGATTCAAACAGTGCCCCTCAACAGATATATGTGGTTTTGCCTCCCCAGAGGGGAACAAAAGGTGGAAGTTACTTTTTGAATATTATTTGGGAGCGCCCATTTTCAACCATTTGATAATTGAAGYACTTTTAATATTAAGGTAATTAATATTACATGATATGATTTGATTAACGTACATCACTTGAAGCCCTTAAAAACAATATTAGAAGACAAACCCCACAAAACTAGGGGATTTTTTTGGCTGAAGAAATGACCCCAGGCATGAGAAACCCTGGCTGAAGAATGWGCTTGATTTCATGGTGTGGTCTGACACTGCTGTTTGCCTGCACAGCCTCAGGGCATCTTCACTCCTGGGGCTCTTGGCCACAGTTTCCACCTTATTCCATTGGYTGGACAAGAAACTTTTCAGAAGCCAAATAAGGCCCCCAAAGACTTCAAGTTTTAAATTAATTTGAGCTRAACACCGAGTGATTGGCCTGGTCAAATGGCCGAGGAGCAGTTTAAGTTTGTGCCTTTGTGCGAAGGGCTGATTGTGTTACACAGAGCTTTGTTCTGGTCAGTGCTCCAGCTGGCTTCAGAGGCTGCTGTGCGTGTCTGGGAGCGCAGGATAAGGTTTAGAGCAAAAGAGAAACCAGAACACTTGCTGGAAGGTTTGATGACTCCACAATGATTGTCCTCCAGGATTTAAATTAGCACTTTGATGTTTAAATCCCCATTTTGCCTTAAGCTATACAGATAACTGGCTGCAGTAGCAATACTCAGCAAAAAGGATTAGCTGAATAGAAAACAATGCTGCTGCCCTCYTTCCCTTGCAGTCTGATTTGGCCTGCTACAAGTAAATAAATGGAAGAACAAAGACAATTTTTGCAGGTCTCATTTGCATGAATGAAGCAAATTTGGGTTTAGCCATCCTGGAAGGAATTGTATTTAGCCAGCTCCTGTTCAGTTGCCTTCCTGCCCTGTCCTTCCTGAGGCTAACTTTGCTGCAGACACTYGCTGAGTTGCCTTAGCCATCAGATTAGTCCCTTGAGACCCTAATTCTGAGGCTGAAGGCTGCTGATCCACACCTCCCAGATTGCAGCTGGGCATGGCTGGCAGTGCCAGCTCTTAGCTCCACATGCTGCAAGTTCAGGAGCGCAGGGAACAYGACAGCTGATCTGCACTGCCAGCTGTTCTACTGCAGATTCCACTCTTGTCTCTGGACTGTCAGCCAGGCTGGCTTTGCATTGTACAAAACACAATTCCATAATAGTGGCTCTGTATTTTTTATTGGTCTACTTGCCTGGCTCCTATTGCATCTTCTCCTGTGAATGAGCAGAATAGTAGTTAAGACTTGCAGTCCTTCCTGAGGTGGCCTGCACATCCCTGCTGAAGAAAAACAGGCAAATGGGAGAACAGAMGTTATCTTCAGTGCCAAATAAAATCATGGTGATTCAGTATTTCAAAATGTCTGACTTACAGAGCTTCTCTCTRTGCCCCTTGCTCTCTCTGTCTTTTGTGGACAGTAAGCTCTTTAAGGCAGGAGTTACCTATATTTAGCACATTCTGCACAGTGGTTTCTTATGTAAACACAGTTGATCCTTCAAGTGACTGTGATTCAGGAGCAATTCCTAGTTAGACATATCTATGACTGTTATTTTGTTACTCCATCCTCTTGCTGCATCTAAACCCCTCTGGCCTCTGTATTAGGGATAAGTCACATAATAATAAGCTCTACAATAGACATAAACTACATTTCCCCCCTCTCTACACACACACAACCCACCAAAAAAAAAAAAAAAAAAAAAAAAAAAAAAAAAAAACACAACAAACCAATAACCAACCATCTTTCTTTGTTTTGTTTATAAAGTGCTGCACAGCATTTCTTGCAACAGCTCCACAATATCATGGTTGCTTCTTTGACATCAGAAAGAAAAAAATACCTCTTTTCACAAGAAAGAGTGTGTCTCCAAATACAGACTGTTCCACATGATGGTTTAATGAAAATGTGGTAAACCTGCTGATGGGGATSCCTGTGCTTCAGTTCTCCATCTCCTCACCCTGATCTCCTGATTAGTGATAGTTGGTGCTTCATGACAGTCGATTTGTACAACCTCAAGGCAAGAAGGCAAAGGTTACAGCAAAGAGTCATAACAAAAAGGCTGTCTTTAAATCTCCAAGGGCAGATTCCTCTTTTGAGCCAGAGCTCCATGCACTGCTTGTGGGCATAAACTATCTGGGAGCCGATTTTATCTCTCAGCTTTGAGGTCAACCAATCCGCAAAGTACTTGGAGGAACAGCTCAACAGCTCCAGGACAACTCTAAGATGTGCCATTAGCATAAGGTCAGATACCCCTGCTATCCCTGAAGGACAAAGTCTAGAGATAAACAGCTCTGCCCAGCTGCCCTCATCCTACTGAGATGTCTCAATATTTTTGAGTCAACAGAGTTAGGTGCCTCTGAAGGCCTCCCAGAAGGGCAGCTTGTTAGACCTTATTTTAGACTTCTGAGTTAGGCAAATAGATTTTCCTGAAGCGGTTAAAGGCGCTTCCCTTTCCCTGCTGAATATGATGGAGAAGCTGGCACTTGGGTTTAGAGCATCTTTTCTTCCAGTACCTGAAGCTCAGACTCAAGTCCTGTGCTTAAATTGGGCAGGCTGCAGGTGGGCTGCTGAGGAGGAACAAGACAATCCTTTCCACCCTTGCCACCAAAGAGACCTGCATCAGAAGTCTGTTATTGGTTGTGTACTTTTCTGTACCAGTAAGTGTTCTCATAGACCAATCTATGATCAAATCTACTGGTTCAAAAAGTTCTAAAATACTTTCAAATTCTGCATAAGGAAAAACAACCCCSTTTTTATTTTAACAAAAAATCCCCAAACTTTTAACCATTTCTCTTAACAAATGTATGCCTTTTCTTTACACAATTCTTTGCTTAARATGCTCAAAGTACCAACTATGAGCAGTAAACCAGCTTACTGTGAAAAACCATCACATCAGTACATATTTTAAAATTATTTCACGTGCTTATGAACCCCACTTCGGGGATGTAGTCTGAGCCACCAGAGGCCAAACTCTCACAAGTCCAGAGATAAATTAAAACTGGAAACACGGGAGACCAGTGCTGATCTCTGAATTCTGAAATTACTCAGGTGAGGATACTCTCTCTCACTAATAGGAATAGACATAATCTCTGYCATGGTTTTAGGCTGCTTTCCCCAGCAGTATCACCTCTGCCCTATTTAAATCAAATCTCAGCTGGTCATCAAGGTCTCACCCAAGTCCTTCTGTTGATCAGGCACTGAGAAAACCAGGACACTGGCACCATTTGAGTCAGATTAAAAAAGAGATCTAGAGATACGTGTCATTAGCAGAGGGGTGGTGTGATGTCTCAAGCTGCCTGTATCCCCAGGTAGCTTCTCAGACTTATTACAAATCCATGGGATTTGTAAGCAAGCAACCACATCCATGTGTGGAAGCAGGACTTGCATGTGAGGACCCCTCATTTCAGAGCAAAAGGAAAAGAACAGAGCTCATAAGTATTGCCAGCCCAGTGCATTAACCTTTCTAGAGGAGACAGAAAAATGTCTTGTACATCGCAGGATTAAACAAAATAAAAAGCAGTGAATCAACCGTGCTTCAGCTGTTCCTAGAAGCTGAATATTCATCCCACATYAAGTGCAGGTCCTGAATTATATCCATAACTTGCAGATCCATAGATGCCAAGATAGTGTGAGGATCCCCRGGAGTGCCAGAATGATCAGAGCCATTGGCTACCACTTTCAGTGCTACACTGCAACTGAGATTACATCTCACACATTGCTAGAAAGCCAAGTGTAATGCCTGAATAAAGGGTCAAAACAAAAGGAAAAAAACTGAAAAAAGAAGGAGTACTAAAACTGTTTTATTCTATCATTATAATGGCTGATGTCAGGAAGATTTGCTTCCTACTTGTGCAAGTTTTACAAAGATGAAGCTGTGTAGCAGAAGTAAAGCTTTAAATGTACAGACAGTGAGGAAAGGTGAAAAAGATCCTAACAAATTTGAACTGTGCTGGAAGTTTACTGTAGAAATCCAGCTTCAACATTATCTTGCTTTCGGTGTTTAGTTTTGTTTCGTTTTGTTGGTTTTTTGGGGTTTTTCTGTAAGATTGTGATAAATTATTGCACTATTCATTAATTGTTCAGAWAATGTAATTTAAGTACAGAAGTAGGGAATTACTCTAGATCCATAAATATTGGTGTTTGAGGTGAAGTCTTCCTTTGAAGTAATTACTGAGTACTGAAAGACTATTTAAACCTAAGAGCAGCAAGAGAAAATGAACAAAGTGAGAAACCGGAAGAGATCAGATGCGCTTCTC